TTTTTAAGAATATATATATAATATATATTGTGGGTGCTATTTATTATCACCCCATTTGAAAGACAGCAGGTGTACCAAAAAACACTGAATGGAGACCAAGAATAGGGAAATGTTCAAGAGGAAGACCAGAAAGAAAGTGGCAAGATGACACCAGAGAGCAGACGGGTGCAATCTGGACACGGAAAACAACTGATAGTTTTAGAGTGGAGATCGCTATTACACGGCTATATCCTGCGGTGGATGGACGATACCTAGAAAGAAAAAACGTTTAAAATTAGTTGAATTCCAACAGTTGCCGTCCTCATTTCCAACATACAGAAGGCCGCCTACTCTCTTGTATGTTCGATAGTCTAAAAGCAACCTTATATTATTATTGTTAGAGTAGGTATAAGTAACCAGACTATTAAAATCACATGGCAGTTAGTATTATACAGAGATAGTAATAGATCTCTCGAAATCATTATAATTTAGTACATGTACGCAATTCTAATAATTTCTTCAACAACAACAAAAAATCGTCTCTTTCTCCTTTCTCTCGTTTTAAGAAAAGTGATAGAAACCAAGGGACGCAACTGTTTTATAATTTTTGATTTTTTGGTAATACTTATGGTTATGCTTCTTTATATAGACGTTTTTGTTTTTGTAAAGTGTTTTACGGCGCTCGCAACTGCATAAGGTCATATGAGTGCGCGGGACACACCTAACATTTTCAGTTGGTATGAAATTTTGAATTTAGCCCGAGTGGCGGCCGAAGCCTACGCTTATCGATTTTAGACCACTAAAGGATCTTTAACATGCGCAACTTGCACACGGGCCCTCCGAGATTTTTCGCCCTTGTCCGAGAAGGCTAGGAGTAGATTTTGTCTACCAGAAGATCAGGGGTGTGGCTGAAAGACAGCAATAAGAAGAAGCGAAGGAGTAGCAGTAGAAAGGCTGCAGAAAGAATCAGGAGCCCAGGGGAAGAGGCAAATTAGGTGAGGGGGTGGGGGCAGAAAGAGGAGACGAAATCAGACGACAGAATATTGCTAGAGAGCAGGAAATGAAGTGAAAGGAGACAAATTTAGAGAAGAAAATTTTTCAGTCGCTACCCGGATTCGAACGCGGGACCTTTTGAATGAGAGGCCAACACCTCAACCTCTAGGCCACAAGACAGGTGGGGCCACACTCTTCTGGCGAGGCGAAGCCTGGTCGAAGGAAGCGAGGAAAATCCACAGAATTCTGTAGAATTCTGTGGGAAAATCAAATGAGGGAGATAACCTTGCCACAGTAATATCCATATCACATGGTGGCGCCATCCTAAATGTACACAGAAAGCCTGTGTCAAGGCAAGCCTCAAGGCCCGGCCTGTACGTGGATGGCCTTCTTTTACAGCTTAAAAAAGATTATATAAAATTCAAAGCAAACTGCCACTTTAATTTGTTCTTTTTACCCAGACAAGACGTTACATTATGTTCTCTTCTCAATTATCTAACAACTCTTTCCATTTGTCTCTTCTAAGTCTCTCTCTCTCTCTCTCTCTCTCTCTCTCTCTTTTT